GACCACATGGACTCTTTACATCTTACAGTATTCATCACAAATTAATTATATTCCAATCAGTTGTTTTACTGTGTGTATCTTGTCACAAGCAGCTTTTCACTCAACAGATCTGACAACATTTTCAATTAGTTATAACAGAATTATTAAAACTAGATTTAATCAAATATTTTACTCCAAAAAATTAATTTGAACTTGTTAACACCTGTCAAAAATTAATGGCATGATTAAATGCTCTTTTGATTTATGTTGTCTAGAACACAGTTATAGCTATCTAAACAACTGTTCAAAATATTACAATTAATTGTAATTTTCCTCACATTTTAACTGAAAGTTAAAAATATGCTGAATTGCTATGAAGCTAAACCAATCCATTCTTTAATGCCAGTCAAGCCTTGGACTATTATACCTCTGTGGATATTTATGTGAAGATCCCATACAAGTCTTGCTCATTGATACTGAGCCCCACACAATAAACGTGGCAAAACTGAAGAACCTGCATTGACTTAGTGCAGTCTGTGAATCAATTTTTGACTTTTCTTTGCTACTTCTCATTTGTTTTAAAAAAATAATATTCAAGGCAATCATTTTATGTACTGAGGTTGGATTTGATGGTTTAAATAGACTTGATGAGTCTTAACACGATGAATCCAATTTATACACTAATTATGCTTATGTAAACTGTTTTGAATGTACTGTGATTGGACCCATGTTGAAAAGTCAGTATGCTCATTTAATTAATTGGATTTAATTAACTTAGCAAGTATATTCAAGTAATTTTCTTAGCTTCAGGTTGTCACCAAATAGTGATTAGCAGTTCTTCAGAAACCATACTTCAGGGTATGTATGGGTACATACTTGTTGTACCTATTGGCTCCTCCTTAAAGATGCATCCCAGGCAAATATGTGTTTATTCTAAGGCAGCTAGCAATCCAGAAAAATGTGTTCATAATAATCTTTTAGTTTATTATGCCAATTAAACCAGTTGAAGAGAAGAGATGCCTACACTAAACCACCCTGGGAATCACACTCACCGCCCTCAAGTCTGGCTTATCTGGATGTGGCTCTTCTTCAGGTTAAATTGTTTCACTTAGATAGTTATATTACTACTACCTGTTCTCATATGAGGAGATGCCCCTTTACCTAGGATCTGGATGTATCAGAATAGGACATCCTCCTTCCATAGGAAGAAACTTTTAAGTAGATGGCTCCCATTTTAAGTGGTCTTGTGGTCTAAATGGTCTTGGATTATATAGCCTAGATACTTCACTCAGTACTACAGTAGAAAAATGGCGCTTTTTTAAAAAGGTAACAAAATAAGGACTGGAGAGAATTCAATTATAACAAGTTCCATAAGGTTCAAATCTGCCCCAAAGCTAGCACTCAGAAATCCGTAAGCAGTCTGAGGAAACAAAGACGTAAGAATTGCAGAATTGGAACAGATAAAAAAACACCCACTACTGAGCCAACAGCACATAAAAGAAATAAATGATCCCTCACATGGCTAAATGAACCCTGACAACTGTACTAGTTCCAGTTCCCCTGGGGATTTTTAGGCATAAACACATGAAATTCTTTTCTCCAGATTCTTGCTTCTTGCAGACCTCCAACTAAGACACAATGAGAATTTTAAAAAAAACTCAAGTTCCCCTTTGAATTCCTCTATCCCTCCCCTATTACTCATTGCAGAGAGTCACTGTCTTTAGAGAGCCCTTAAGAACCATCAGCAGGTCTGCAAGCCATTCCAACATTTAAAAATCCAATTACACTTAGCTATTATTCTACCGAAAAATTCCTTAATTTATTATATCAGGCAATATCTTTACAATTTAAATTATATCTGGTTAAGTTACTGGAGGCAGTTAAGCTACTGAGTCCAACTCACTGAGTCCAATTCCATTCTTAGCAAAGTAGTCCAGGTTAAGGCATCTCAACAAACGGGTGGTCAGTATTTCTTTGAATGATCCAGCTATTGAGGAGCTCACCAGTTTCTCTTGGAAATTGATTTCACTGTCAAACTGCTCTGAACATTAGAACATTTCCCTAACATTCAACTGAAATCTGCCTTTTTATAACTCTTATGACTTGAGAAAATTGTTTCTTTCAGAATCTGGAGAAACCATTCAGGTCAGCCAGTTTGGTGGAAAACTTGGGAACATTCTGATTGAGGTTTCATATAAAATAAAATCTGGACAGGGCATGTAAACCAAGGCTAGTATGTATTTCCAGTACAGTATATTCCAGCAGCTTACCCACATCCAATCTTCCAAGTAGCTTTTTCCCCTTCCCTCAGCAACTGTCAACTGATTAGCACAGTATATACAATCTTCTCAGCCCCTTTCCTCCCTACTCTTAGTCACTGACAGAAGCATCTCCTACCAGTCTACTGTTCTCAGTCCACCCAAAACCTTCCTTTCCTCCACTAATCTCAGAAGGTTTCTGCCTTTCTTTTGATATTATCATCCTTTGGTCTCCTGTTAAAATATGTTTACATCTCGATCAGAACAATGAAACTCTAGCCTGTCTTAACTAAAATTTTGTGAACCTTCCTTTGGATGTAGGCTCTAAGAAATCCTGAAGAACTTACTTCCAAGACTATAACACATAGCATTATATTGGGCACTTGATAATTTTTAAGAAGTAATATGTGTTTATTTAAAACTATTTTTGATTAGCTTTCATTTAAAATTGAAGAAAGGGGGACAATAAAAATACCTTTCAGTTTAATTACACTTTGAACTTTTCCTGTCCCATAAACATATAATTGATACAACTATACATGCCAAACAATGCTAAGGTATGTGAAACAGCCCTGAATGTCACACTTGGAAAAGATCAAAATGTGAAATGATCACGAATTCACCTTTTTTTTCATTAAGGGTAAGAAAACTAATTGCTGAAATTGGGCTACTGACAATTGAAAACAATGATCCTAACGGAATGCAATAAGAAAATAGGATGTATATAAAGGAGTCTCAAATTAACATTTAGACTCTGTACCCTCCAAAGTTTTCAGAGCTGCTTTTGTGTTTGCATGCATGTATTATACTGAAAAAGAGGGAGATGTACCCTTTTTAACTGGCATATGTAGTTTGTTCAAAGGTTTTATGGCCTTGAATATGCAACCCTTTTTTTATTTAGCTTCATCTAATCAGAAACATATGCAAGAAGTGCCACACAAAATTCAATTCAAGATTCATAAGTTAAAACTACACATAGAACCAAGTACAAATAAGCAACCCCACAGCTATACAAAAGAAGGAAAATAATGGGGATCTGCTGTTTTACTTGACGAGGTGATAAAAGCTCTTTTCCTATTAAGTCTAATGATTCTGACTAGCCTTCATAACTTGGAGAAATGTAAAAAAAAAGAAAGAAAAAGGTAAGGATAGATTCAGCAAAGGAAAACAACAAGCTCTCCACACATGGCTTCATTCAAAATGCAACATCTCAAATTACTGGTGCAATTACTGTAACTTGACAATTTCATTATACTCATGTGGTAGTTAACTCTTTACGGTCTACAAAAAAGTTCTTTTAACCACTAGATATTAAGTCATCAGGAGCCTTGACCTTAAACTAGCATTAACTCTCCAGGCTGGGCTCTCTGTTTTCAAGAAGCAAAAAACAATGTTGAAACTGTTAGCCTTCTTTGATTTATATATTTGTGTTTTTTAAAAAAGAAAGAAACGTGCTCAAGTATAAGACTTCTTATAGACTCCATTCTGCTTTGTGAACTTCAGATTTATTTTTCCAAAATAGAACAGACTAAATCTATTTATTCTTTATTCTTTGCTTTATTCTTTGCCTCCATGTATTTTGGTCACAATATTGTAAAAGCACTTAACAATGCTTTTTAAACAGAGTCCAGTACTTGCCCTTGAAGCAGAGCCAGACAGCCTTTTAATGCCTGGGGAATTGCATTTTAGTAGTTTTGGCTGCTGATACTGCAGTTGGCAGAGTGAAAATGCAGCCAGAATTTTAAGAATTTGGGGAGATCTTTTCTCTCTCTCTTTTTTTTAGTAATGTGACACTCTGGAATGAGGTCCCCAATATCCTTTCAACTCCCATTGTAATGATATTCTGGAAAGCCTTACTAATCTAGTTTTTTATCCAGTCACTGGGCTAGGCTGGATGGGACATTTGTGATGTTTTATGTACATTTTGTTTTATTGCTGGATTGTGATTATTTTGTAATTTTTACACTTGTTTTGGCTAATTTTCTATATTTTTCTCCTTTTTATGCTTTTATTGTTGTGAACTGGCCAGAGTTGGATGGAGTCAAGAGGCAGTCAAATGGAAACAAACAAACAAACAAACAAATAAATAAATAAGATTCAATGATATCTGAAAAAATAATTAACGGTCTTGATGCTGAAAGAAGCTCAATTTTGGCACTGGTTTACTCTCCCAGCTTGCCATTTAGCTCCCAAATGTTTCATTACTAGACTAGGAAACATCATTAGCAGGACTTCAGTAGAAATGTCTTGTTCAGAAGCTCAATTTATTCTCAAACTTTAAATTAGTCACTTATAACTGTATAGGAATGTTATGTAGATAAGAATTGATCAGCAAACTGACATCAATCAAACCCATGTTAGCGTTAATTGTGGAGGTACGACAGACTAAATTTGATCAAAGAAGACAAATAGTGTGTATGTGTGTGTGTGCATCTAAGGAACTGGGACAAATATTGTTGTTTGAAGGTGCAAATTGCTTTTTGCAATTGAGTGATGGTGATTTTGTCAATGCCAATGATATTCAAAATGGTGCCTACTGGTACTATTTTTGTTTTACTTTGCCACACTCATTCTACTTCTATTTGTAGATCTTTGTATTTTGTGATTTTCTCCAGGTATTGAAATGTCCACTATTCAAACTTTTTTGTCCTTCTTTGCAATAACTGTTATGTGGCAGGTGTTTATTGAATTCTAAAGTCCCAGAGCACTTTGGTTTCTATATTTGTATTACTTTGTCTGTTTTATGATTCCACCAATTCTTGCTTCCAGGCAAATGGTGTTTCTTGCAGATCTTCCAATATACCATTGTTGCTAATTTGTAATCTTATTATTATAGTATGACTATATCGAATTATAGCTCCAGATAAATAAAATTTACTGAACATGTATTCATCAGATTCCTCAGTTAGAGGAATCTGCAGAATCTGACAATATTCATTAATTTCTTTCAAGTGAAACTCAAAGAATTAAATCAACAATAACAAAATTAAGAAAATTAATTTAATGCTAAATTAATGGAATTGGGAACATTTCATTTTCTCTATTATAAATATAGTAGCAAACATTAAGATAGTGAAAAGAAACTATTTATTGTATTTAAATAATATAAAGATTTAGTGTTAAAGGTGATTTCATACCTCAAGTGGTGAATCACAGAGAAATCGCGTAAACTGTCATTGGTGTATTTATCAGAAGTCCAAATCACCAGAAGAGTCAGATCAACATGAAACAATGAAAGACACAAAGTGAATAAAATAAGTTAATATTGTTTGCAATGTATTATTATATATCATTGAAAAGATGCCTAGCACTATTATTAACTGTGTGAATTGATGGAATAAATCAACAATTTATTTCAAAGTTTTCTATCAATACAGAGACTAGCAATAAGAGAGACAGTTTTTGTCTGAATATTAACAAGAAAAGTCACTTGTTGAGATGAGCAGCTAAACAAACAAACAAACAAACAAACATTTTTGTAAATTTAGGTCTTGAAAATCTATAACTTTTGTTTTGGAAATGCTGCCTGCTGTCTTATTCATGCACAATGAACTAGATTATATTTTGATATTTCTACTTTAACAAATGCATTTAAAAGCACTCAAGTGGCTTTTATTTCAGTCAGTGCACAGAATATTTTATGATATTATTACAAATTCAAAACTGTGAGGCTATCAGATGAACAAACTGGGACCATGTAAAACCTGTAAGGACTATTGTCAAAAGAGGATATTTATTAGATATCTTCTATGAGATGCTGTGTGGGCTTTTATTATAGTCCAGTAATGCTGAAAATGAGCTTTAATATTTTGCTTGAAAGACAAAGTTCTGGTGTTATGGATAGGCCTTGACTTACCACCACAATAACACCTGGAATTTATAACATGCCCTTTCCTCATTCTTAAAATGCTACTTATGATCCACAAACCATTGTCATATGAGCAAGGAACACTGCAATCAGTCATACATGCAAGCTAGTTGCCCAAAACATGATCACATGACCATAGGCGGGGCAGTTGTAACTTTGAGATGGATCATAAGTAGCACTTTAAAAGTCCACCATAACTTTGGAAAATTGTTAAACAACTGGTCATAAGTTGACGACTACCTGTACTAATTAACATGCCTTTCCCTTGATCTCAACAGCTTATCACTCCTGCTTTCCTTGTTTTTATTTATTTGTATCCCACCTTTACTTTTACAAATAACTCAAGGTAGTGAACATATCCAACATACGTTCCTCCTCCTATTTTTCCCACAACAACCCTGTGAGGTGGGTTGGGCTAAAAGAGAGTGATTGGCCTACAGTCTCCCGGATGGCTTTTATGGGTAAGAGTGAACTTAAACTCACAGTCTCCTGCTCTGTAACCCGGTGCCTTAATCTCTAGACCAGGGGTAGGCAGCCTTAGCTCTTTTATGACTCGTGGACTTCAACTCCCAGAATTCCTGAGCCAGAGTTGAAGTCCATGAGTCATAAAAGAGCCAAGGTTGCCTACCCCTGCTCTAGACCAAAGTGGCTCTCTACACAGAAGCAAGACAGAAGAAGCAATATAATCCACTCAGAAGCATACTTTTTTAAAAGGATGGAGTTTCACATTTAACTGGAATGCAGAAATAGTTCTGAAGAATTTACAGATACATTCAGGAAAGCTATTTCAGTAAAACTTTGAGAGCAGAATACAAATTCTTCAGCAAACAAAATTTTCCAACAATAGCAGCCATAAATCTTATGTGCATTCATGAAGACTAGGATGTAACATGCAATAACTTTAAAAAATTCTGTTTGTATGTGTATGTATATATATTGCCTGATAGTGATGCCTCTTTACAGAAAAAAATTCAAAAACTCTGAAGAATCCCACTTGTTTATTCATATAATGATGATGATGATGATGATGATGATGATAAATAATAATAATAATAATAATAATAATAATAATAATAATAAAATAATAATAATAATAATAATAATAATAATAATAAAGTTGGAAGGGACCTTGGAGGTCTTCTAGTCCAATCCCCTGCTCAGGCAGGAAACCCTATACAATTTCACACAAATGGTTGTCCAATCTCTTCTTAAAAACTTCCAAGTGTTGGAGCATTTACAACTTCTGGAGGCAGGTTGTTCCACTGATTAATTGGTCTAACTGTCAGGAAATTTCTCCTTAGTTCTAGGTTGCTTGTCTCCTTGATTAGTTTCCATCTGTTGCTTCTTGTCCTGCCCTCAGGTGCTTTGGAGAATAGCTTGACCCCCACTTCTTTGTGGCAAACCCTGAGATATTGGAACACTGCTATCATGTCACCCCTCGGCCTTCTCTTTATGGCAGTACTGTAAGCAGAAGCCAGAAACCACATGAAGCCAAGGTACGCTTGCAATTTCATGCTACAGAAATTGTAACTAGGTAAGCAAAAGGAGATTACCTATTAACTTCATGATATAAAACAGACAAAAGGAATGGAAAAAGAAAATCAAAGGAAGCCTAACTGTGCAGATAAATACTTTCCCCCCCTAAGACAGGGGTAGGCAACCTTGGCTCTTTTATGACTCGTGGACTTCAACTCCCAGCATGGCTGGCTCAGGAATTCTGGGAACTGAAGTCCATAAAAGAGCCAGGGTTGCCTACCCCTGCCCTAAGATATACCAAATGACAGATACAAACATGGCCAAAAATGCTGGTACCACTCCACTTTTTCTGAAAGAATCCCAACTGCCATGAAATAAGTGGAAACTGACACAAGTGCCTGGCATCCACCATTACTTTTGCATTGAAAGAGTGATTTTAAAGATCCCAAATCCTCTCAAGAACAGTATTTCTTTCCGACGCCATTTTTATTTGCAACCCAAAGAAAATACAATTAATCTACAAAGGAATAGTAAATATTTACAATCTATTTAGCAATTAAATGGAAGATTTCTATAAACTTAAATCAGTCCTGAAGACAATGAAACAATGTGGCATCCACAAGTAGTTTTTTCATGCATTCACAACCAAGCTGTTCCAAAGCTCGAATAAATTGAAGCTGTATGATAAACTTAAGAGAAAATTGTTGGTTTCATTATTCTAATTATACTCCTGAATTTGAAAGTAGTTAAAACAGTTTCCTGAAGATCCATTCAGATCTGAGAAACAGTCTATTATAGTAGGAACTGACTGCTTGGCTTTCTGTAAACTTGGTAATTTCTTAATTATACATAAAATCAATTGGTAAATAGAGTGTAATTAAATAGTATTTTTTCCATTAGAAATATTTTTGACACTGGAGGACCTTCCAATGATTTTAATTTTAAATTTCAATTGCTCAATAAATGTTACCACATTATCTAAATATTTGCTCCTATTCAAGATTATACAGTACAGTCTTTTTTGTAAGAGTATTTCACTATTTATTGTTAAGATAACTATATGAAAGTTATAACATCTAATCATGGTTCTTGAGAGCACACAAATTATTTAATACTATAATTAGATCTGTCTCCTAAAGAGAGATCCCTTAACTACAACTTCTTATCTAAATGCCTATTAATTGGTTTTGTGATATAACTGTATCTTATATACTATCATTAACCTGCTGTAAATGTAGCAGAATCAAAGTATAGTAAATAAATATCTGGACCAATTGCTAATAGTTCACAAAGAAAGCATGTTTTAAAATACACATTTGTTTCAGATATTTCTATCCTAAGGGGGAAGGAGAAAAAAAATATGTTCTTATGCAGAGCGGCATACTCCCAACTGCTTTCTTTTCCTTTACGTTCCATTTCCCATTTTAAATATTTTTAAACTCAACTGTATGTTGAGGGTGGGGGTGGGGGTGGGGGTAAGAGTAACCGAAGAAAGGAAAGGACTATTCATAACCAGTTCAGTCACACTGGTACAGCGTTTTGGACAGAGAATATTTTGCAGGTCTTTAAATAAATTTCTCTCCAAAACAAATATTTGACTAAGCTCAAGGTAAGGAGCTTGTCCAGTTTTGCAATGGAAACTGAGCTACGTAGTATTTTTTTTCCTATAAACTTGTCATTATGAAATATACCCAAAGTAGTGGGGAAAATGCTTGCTCCATTAAATAAGTATTGCAATAAAATCGTTTGCTGTGGCTATTTAAGAGAACTATCCACCAACTTATGATCATGTCTGGAAATGTTTTCTAACTGCTGCAACTGCCATTTGGTTTGCTTTGGTTACCCTGTTTATTCAGAAGACATAGAGCACCATAAAAGGTCTTAATAGCCAGAAATATTATAGAAGCTGTGGTAGCCCCAAAATAGTAACACTGTATTATCAAATGCAGTTAAAAAAGACAGAAATATATTTTAAGGTTTAAAAAAAATCTGTAATCGGATACAAGTTTTCAGCACACTTAATCAACTCAAGCAGTAGCACAACTTTCATCCCATATTAAAAGTTTCATTAAGAAGCAGCACTACAATATAGCAACATGGATACTAAATGTATTCCGCTTATATGCTCCAGCTAAAGTTTTTTTCTGAAGATGGAATTACAAACAGTTCAGTCATAGCAAATTGTAGAGTATTCTTTAATAAGAAGTCAGGCTTTCTGGGAACAAACGTAGTTGGTGGTGTCAGAACTTTCAATTTACTCGACAGAATGAAGCAAACAACACTTAAAATTAAGATCATACTTTCCAGCTGCACGGGAATATCTTTATTATTATTTATTAAATTTATATGCCACCCGAATTGCCTAGAAGCAACTCTAAGCAGCTTATAAAAACAGCAAAATGTTAAAATTAAAATGTTAAGATCGTAAATATTAAAATTAACAAAGGTGTCAAAGAAGGAAACAAGGTATTAATCAGAATTCAAGCTTTCTACATACCCAATCCCTTTAATGTTATTTCCTTGATCATATTGTCATTGAAAAAGTAAAAGGGCGGGGAGAAAGAGAATGAAAGGTGAGCTCATTTCAGATACCCGAAATCTTCAATATTTGCACAAAAATACCTTAAACACATTTTCCTTTTGAAAGCCTATGATGAATTATCATCATCTAGAGCAGGCATGTCAAACTTGCGACGTCATGTGACATCGCGCAACATATTGGGACTTTTTCCCCATTGCCGGCAATGGGGTGGGTGCGGTTTCAGCGTGACACATCCAGCCCGCGGGCCGGCAGTTTGACATGCCTGATCTAGAGGTCCATCAGAGATGATACGCTAGCAGTGCAATCTTAATGTTCTTTTTATACTATCAAGGATCTCTATGGTATTAATGAACCATTCGGAGTAGTAAAGTAATAAACCACAGAGCAATACACCTACCTTTGATAAAATGTTTAGCACCCAGCACTCAGTACAACCCTTTCAAACACGAATTGCAAATAACTGTAAAAACACTGACCACCATGAAGTAACCCTGGTTTGCTTACAGTACCATCTCAGAGTAAACTCCATTCCTTTAAAGTACTATAACAAAGTTTAGTAGGTTGCCTGTGAAAAACTGTGTTATTTGCAGAACAGATCTGACCAAGGAGACTAAAGGTTTTTGCTGATACTCACTTAGTATGTGGGCTCCAAGATCAATGAAGGGAAAGACTAGGGACAACATGCAGGTGACTAAAACAGGCACGGGTTGCCTAAGAAAACAGGGAAGGTATTTGGATAGGTAATAGTAGAACTATTTCAAAATTCTGATGTACTGTAGCTATTAATGTGTACTTTATAAATGTTCCTATTAATTCAATTACCTCCCTTTTTATGACCCTATAGTCCCTATTCGGGGTTGAGTTAGGGCGACTGGATGCAGCTGTTTCGATTAATTCGATTAATTTCCAGTAATGATATGAAACATCTATGAAAAACAATCTGTCTTCAGCTGTCAGTTTTTAAAATAATTGCATTATAGGTAGTTCTTGCTCAATGACTACTTGTTCAATGATCAAACTTGCAATGTGCTGAACAAATGGGTAGTCAGGAGTTCTGGCTTCTGCAACATCCTCACAGTGATGTGATTGCCATCTGCAATCTTCTTTGCTGGCTTCCGACAAGCAGAATCAATGAGGAAGGTGGCAAGAGATCACAAATGGTGACCACATGAAGTCCTCACTTAATGACTCACAATGATTTGTTAACAGCAACCAGAATTTCCATTGCTAAACAGCATAGTCACATGATGTCACACTCTACCAAATCTGTCAACGCTGCTAACATCGGATGTTCTTGCTTTGACAACAGATGGAAATGCAGCCATTTTTCCTCTATTGCTTTTAGAGTTAGTTGATACTGGGAGGGGGAATGTGGATGAGAGTCCAGCTAGTCATAACAATAACTCAGCCGTGGGAACCCAAGGTCATTGGGCCCTGAGTTGATAGAGTTTTGGGGGGCTGGAGAGAAAGCCTCCGCTTCAAATTAATTGGGGAATGTGATTTATGACTGTTTATTGGAGGAGGGAATTGTGCTTTGTTACATTGTACCCAGGGGAGGGGAATTTAGTTTTTGGTTTCAACTATGTAGTGCCGATACTATGTTTATCGAATAAAAGATTCTTTAATGTAAACAATGCTTTGAAGTTCTTTTGAAGAGTTTCATCTGTCGGAACCATGACAAAATCACTTAGTGACAGCAATTCCATTCCCAACTGTGCTCACTAACTAAGGACATTCTGTATGGAACAATTTTGGTCCAGGATACCAGGGGCTAATGGTCACATTAGCTGGCCAATTATCATTCATCCATTATCTATTGTCACCCATCTGGTAGAACTTTTTTAATAATTCATTTATTTTCAAGCTGTTTTAGTTACAAGTGAAATCCACATAGGATTATCATATCCTTACAGCTTATTTTTTCAGGTCTCAGTTTACTAAAAAGTGATGTAGTTAATTACATTTAAGTTCCATTAAAATTAATATTTGTTGTTAGTTGCGAAGTTGTGTCCGACCCATCACGACCCCATGGACAATGTTCCTCCAGGCCTTCCTGTCCTCTACCATCTTCTGGAGTCCATTTAAGCTCACGCCTACTGCTTCAGTGACTCCATCCAGCCACCTCATTCTCTGTCGTCCCCTTCTTCTATTGCCCTCAATCTTTCCCAGCATTAGGCTCTTTTCCAGTCAGTCCTTCCTTCTTATTAGGTGGCCAAAGCACTTGAGTTTCAACTTCAGGATCTGGTCTTCTAAACAGCAGTCTAATTAATATAAAATTAACTTAACTTCAATTGCATAAATTTTATTGAAATCACAGATCATCTCATTTAATTTGAATCTAACCACAGAGCATAGGAATCGCCATTCTACTTCTTGCAATTAGTATTGTTATTCAAAGTTACTTGTTTGCTTTAACCATCTGGGCCAGTACAATTTTCCTCAATCCTCTATATGTCTATTCAGAATTAATTTCTATTAATTTCATAGGACCACAAGGTATCTTTTGAATAGATCTACCCCAGCTGCAGTCTGAATATTTTTTTTATTTCCTTCTTTAGGTCACGTGCATGCAGATTAGGGGCTGCATATATCTAATTTAACTGATTTCAACATTTACAGTTGTTGATGTATGACATGTACTGGATGTTTTTGTTCAAAAATAATTCAGATATTTTCATATATTGTTTTAGGTAAAGAACACTTAAACTGAGTTCAGCTCCTAATGATTTCATGGAGACAATAAATGTTATTGATAACAGTAAGGAAAATACTGTGACATTGTTTTCTTTATTTTTCTAACTTGAACCCTGGATTTCCCTGTCAATCTCCCATCCAGATATTAACCAAAGCATTTCTGATTAGATACAACAAGGTAGGACTGGTGCTGTTACTCTTGGAAGCTCTGTGGACTTTTTTCTATACCAGGATTTATTTGGGCTCCTGTTTTTAGTTTAAGCAAGATTGGGAAAAATATTGTTTTAAAAGATTGGATCGATCTAAATGACAATAAACATTTATGTTTATTGATGACAATATTAATAATATGGACAAAAAAAAATACATGCAGTAAACTGTACCTGGTCCTCGTCACATTCAAGAGGAGTGTCCTTGTGTATGGTCATCTGATACTTGGCAAATAAAGTGGCAGACTGAGTAAAAGATGAACTGAACTGTGGATCCTCAAAAGAAACTGGTACTAACCTCACCTTCAGAGCAATGGAAAGTACAACAGTTTATTTAAAGTTGTCCTTACACTCCTGAAGGGTAGGCCAGGCTATCATCTCCTCAGATCCATTTCAAAGCCTCTACCACGGAGACATACAAGGAACCCTCAATGACCACAAATCCCCCTCCCATTTTACATGCTAACTTGTTTCTGCCATGTTAATACGGTCTATGCCTAGACTCCATAGAACAGGCAGCATACAAATATCTCTATAAATGTAAATAAATACTACGCAGAAATGATAAAATACAATTTGTACACAGATGAAATTGTAAAGCTTTCTGACAGCTAACTTTTATACTTCAGTTTTCAAGTTGTGATGTGAAGTCACTGAGATCAGTATTCTCTACCTGTCAATGAGTGATAAATATGTTCTAAGGAATATCCTCGGTTCACACACGGAACAACATCTAACACGTGAATTGATTCTGCTTTTAAGGACTCTGCTACTATTGAGCTACTGAGATTATCTGAAATTTTCCAACAATCAAAGCTGCTATCATAGATTTTTCTCAAAAGATTTTTTTCTTTTTCCAAAAGAAAATGAATGTTTTAATTTTAAATGAGAGCAAAAGACATAATCATCTCTTATTTTATAGAGCTGTGCAGTATGAACAAGCTATAAGCAAAAATATGGAATGTAGCTGGGGCAGCAACCCAAATGTTAATTATCAGAGTCAATTTCTAGTAATTTCTGAACCTCTGCCATTATTCCATTCATGTGCCAAAATAAGAGCTGATAATGAATGCTCTTAATGCCAAAGGAGTTATCTATAATCTGTGACACATCTTTAGTAACCAGTCATTCTAGCAGACCCTCGCCTATCACACAATTAACACAATACCAATCATTACCTTAAAAGGGCTTTAATTCAACTAACCTTAAAAAGCACTAACATTTTCTCAAATAATTTTCACATGCTATAAAATGTTTACCAGGTCACTTTTTAAAAGTTTTTTTCTGTACTGAATCTACATATTCTGTCACATGAAAGAGACAGCATAATGTAGAATGAAAATGGGCTGACAATGGAAAAGTGATGGGAAAAGAAGAAATAGTTAAAGAATGAAAGAGAGCACAATAATAAACTGCATTATGGGCAAAACAGCATCATTTACCACCAGCAGGATTCTTAAGAAAAAATATAGGTAGTCCTCAATTTATGACAATAGTACCAGAATTTCCACTGCTAACCAAGGGGGTTGTTAAGTGAGTCACACTTGATTTTACAACCTTTTTGTCATGTTAGAAAAGCAAATCACTGCAGTTGCCAACACCCAAATTTTGATCATGTGACTGTGGCGATGTTACATAAGTGCAAGGACTGGTCTATAAGTCACTTTTTCAGTTCCTTTGTTAACTTTGAAAGGTCACTAAAGGAATGGTTATAAGTCAGGGACTACAGGTACTGAATACTAACTATAGATTCTATTCTTTGCCTGCCTTAATCTGTGACTCTTATGAAACATTCATAGCACCCCTGAAGAACTAGCAAAACAGCATTTGAATGAAAAATCCTAGTAGGCAACCAGAAAAATCAAGGGTGCACCAATTGCAGCCTTTTCTAGATGAGAAGGCTCTCCCAATAATCACTCACATCTTAGTCTCCTCTCAGATGGACTACTCTAATGTGCTCTACACAAGGCTGCCCTTGTATAATACCTAGAAACTTCAGTTGGTACATAATGCAGCAGTGTGGACAGTTATAGATGCTTCTCCATAAGCTACATTATTTCCAGTATTTTTTTGAGTCAAATTCAACATCCATGACATGGGGACAGGTTGTATGTAGGATTTTCTCTCCTCAAACATGACTACCCGTTCCGTCAAATCAAATCTGACCGAAGAGGTATACTATGAAAGAGGGCTACCTGGTAGGATCCAGGAAAAAAAGCCTTTCCTTTCAACAGCACTTGCCCTGGAGATCAGATTGTCCCCAACTCGCTTAATCTTTCACAAGACATGGGCTTGAACTTGGGGTCGAAGTTTGCTGGAACCTGTGAATTACTTTTATTGAAATATCTGCACTGGTAGTCCTCAACTTACAACCACAATTGAGCCCAAATGTCTGTTGTTAGGTGAGACATTTGTTATATGAGTTTTGCCCCAATTTATGACCTTTTCTTGACATAGTTGTTAAGCAAATCACTCCAATTGTTAAGGTAGTAACACGGTTGTTAAGTGAATCTGGCTTCTCCATCAATTTTGCTTGTCAAAATTGGGATCACATGACCTTGGACACAGCAATGGTCACAAGTATGAGCATTGCCAAACATCTGAATTTTGATCACACGATCATGGGGATGCTACAAAGGTTCTAAATGTGAAAAATGGTCATAAGTCACTTTATTCAGTGCCGTTGTAACTTTGAACGGTCATTAAATGAACTTGTTCTAAGTTTAGGACTACTGTATTGTATTTATATTGGTGGTTGGGTACCTTGCTGTTTTTAATCACAGCTGCCGACTATCTATTTATTTTGCATTTTTGTGAGGTTTTGTTTTTTTTGCTATTTTTCGAACTGTTGTTAACCACTCAGAGTCAGTTCTTTGAGATGGCAAAAGGAAGGAAGGAAGGAAGAAAAAAGAAAAAGAAAGAAAGAAAGAAAGAAAGAGAGAAAGAAAGAAAGAAAAAAAGAAAGAGAGAGAGAGAGAGAGAGAGAGAGAGAGAGAGAGAGAGA